GGGGTTAATCCGGCCTGTTACACCGGTCCTGACCTGCAAGGCCCTTCGCGGCCCAGGCCCCACACGCCTAGTCTCTCTTCCCACACGTCCCCCACGGGGCCGCCTGTGATCTTCCTCGGGGGCTCCCCCCTCCCTGCTGTTCCACTGGGGAGCAGCCGTCTGGACCCCGATGTTCTTGGGAGCATTCAGAGTGAATTTGTAATGAAGGAAATGGATTATCCGATATGTGCTGTCCCTACAAAACTAAGATCAGGGATCAGGAACTCTTAGCACCTTTTTTACACGGACAGTGCTTATCTTGGGACTCAGCGTCAGAATAGTAACCATTAAAAAAACCAAAAAACATTGAAGAGACCCAAAACAGCGCCAAGTTGGGACTGTCCACACAAGCCAGTGAAAGACAGGACTGGTTACATGCCCCCACCATCTACAAGGCAATGCCACCTAATCTGTCTCCCTTTGACTTCCGAAGTGCATCACTGGAAGATATTCCCAGCTCTGACAAAACGAAAACAGCTCCACCACCCCCCAACCCCCGGCTGCTCTCAGCCTTACAGACGGGGCAGCAGGAACAAGGACCGATAAACACCCACGCTGCCTCTCGCATGTTTCAAGAAGGAGACACAGTTTGGATTATATCACGGTTGCTTATCAGAAGAACTTGGGACGCTTGCAAGAAGGCCTGAGCTCATTTCCCTCCAAGCCGCTTCCTCTTCAGAAGCCCCCCAGGCCTTGCCGCTGTGGGCCCCGCAGGCCTCGCAGGGGGAAAGCAAAGCTCCGCACCCTCCTTGCCTCACTTGCCAGTCGCAGCCGTGACTCTTCTCACTGGACAGAACTAGGGGGAGGCGGTACAGGACCGCTCCCTCTGCAGACCGCCCCGTCTCCACACACGGCTGGGGTCTAGAAGGCCCAGAGAACAGCCCGTCTTGGGTCTGTTTGGCTGAAGGGAGCTGAGGGAACCCAGGCCAGGCCAGCCCATGGGCCGAACGAGCACCGCCCGGAATATCCGGACTCTCGGCAAGAAGTACGGGGCAACCTCATGAATGGACATATTGGGGCAACTCAGTTTGTTATAAATCTTACTTTGATATTCTGTCAAACTGCAGCAGCTCTGCATCGACGTCTTCAAATACATATGCAAGTCTGATTTCATTATGGCTAAGATTCATTGTCTGAGAACGGCATATGGATCACTATGCTGCTGTTGTCTAAACAGAAGGGAAATACCGTGGTTGTTCTCTCCCTAGCCACGGGTTAGAATACTTCAAGTTGTTCAAACATCCAAACGTGAGGTGCAAAATTCATGCTGAGCATCTACAAACATCTCCCCCCCCCTCTTTAATGTGCAAGATTTCCTTGTAACAGGCCTGAAGGAGCCTGCGATGCGTAAGACCCGAACGCGAGCCCACCCCTTGAAATCCCATTCCTTCTTTGCTTCTGTTCCAGCTCTCCCCAAACTGCACTCCCACGGACAGGAATCCCTCCCCCGGCGGGGGCAAGGCATGGCATGGGTCCAGCAGCGCCTCCTCCCTTGCCATCCCCCAGTGCTAACGAAGGCACTGCCAGGCTCACTTCGGTTCACGCTGGCTGGACCCCTTGGTGGCCCTGGGGTTTTGGCCACAGAGTGTCGGCCTGGATGGGCCATCGGCCTGCCCTGATCCAACATGGCTTCTCTTGTGTTCTTAAGGCTCCCTGAAAGATGGTTGGGTCCACCCCACAGAGTTTATACATTTCTGGTTAGCCCACAATTCAGTGCTGCGGTTGTTTTTGTTTTAGCTTGGGGGAGATTGCATCTGTCCTCTCTAGACGGGACTCTGGAGGAATGGGAGCGCAAGGGCGCATGTCGCTGCTGCTGCTGCTGCTGCTGCTGCTTCTCCCTCAGGAGCCTGATATCTGAAGTCAATTTGAAGCGAAGTCCTCATTAAATTTAACTGGCAGCTGCTGTGAAGTTGTGCTAACTGAATTTAGAGCTGCTTTATTTCATACTGGATGCACCCATCTGAACAAACTTGTGCACTTTGAGACATGAACATCCTTTCCTCTCACTTCAGGTATTCTTCTCACTTCACGGTTCTTGTCAATTCCTTAAAGACAACGCAAAGCAGACACGTAGGCACACCCCTCAAATGACAGAGTTGGAAGGGGCCAGGCAGGCCATCCAGTCCACCCCCCCGCTCATTGCAGGATCAGCCGCCCCAGAGCATCCCTGGCAAGGGTTTGTCCGGCCGCTGCTTCAAGACTGCCAGGGAGGGGGAGCTCACCACCTCCCCAGGGCAGCTGAGTCCACTGTGGCACAACTCTGACTGGAAAAAAGGTCTTCCTAAGATCCAGCCGGTACCTCCCCGCCCTTAATTCAAACCCACTCTTGCGAGTCCTCCTCTCCTCTGCTGCCAACAGGAGCAGCTCCCTGCCCTCCTCTAAGGGACACGGCCCTTCCGGTTCACGGCCACAGGAGGTGGCGGCAGCGGCTACAAGCACGGACGGCTTCAAGAGGGAGTTGGATAAACATCTGGAGCAGAGGTCCATCCGTGGCTATGAGCCACAAGGGGATAGATAGGGACTCTCGGTCTGGGGCAAGGGATGCTCTCTGTATTCTGGGTGCTTGGGGGGGGGCAACAGTGGGAGGGCTCCTAGTTTCCTGGCCCCACTGCTGGACCTCCTGATGGCACCTGGTCTTTTTGGCCACTGTGTGACACAGAGTGTTGGACTGGATGGGCCAGGGGGGCAACAGTGGGAGGGCTTCTAGTGTCCTGGCCCCACTGCTGGACCTCCTGATGGCACCTGGTATTTTTGGCCACTGTGTGACACAGAGTGTTGGACTGGATGGGCCATTGGCCTGACCCAACACTGGCTTCTCTCTTATGTTCTTATGATCCAAGTCTTCGTGGCACCAGCACAACACACTGTCCACCCCCCACACACCCCGGCCATCTCATCCCTTCGAGAGCTGACCCGGCATGCGAAGGAGGAGACGGAAGAGAGAGGACTCTCTCTGAGCATGACATGAGCCGCATTGAGAGGTCTCAGGTGTTTCTGCCTCATTACTCATCAAGCACACATTTCTTCCGTTCTGGTTCTTCCTCTCTCTGGTAATCAAATCCACATACGGTTTGACATTTTGATTGGGTTTTACTTCCATTAAACAAAGGCCACAGGGAGCAAAGTAAAGATTAGCACTGAATGACAAAATTAAATCATCAACACAAACAATTAATATGTGTGGCATGCCCTTCATAGCAAGACACCCGCACACCATCTCTCTGCCAGAAGACAAAAGGAAAACCACATTAGGACAATGTACAAGTTAGCGTGGCTTAAAGACAAACATTTTGGATACGCGTTGTCTGGATTCACGCATCAGCTAAGGCCAAAGATGTCCCCACGGCACACTGGCCTTTGGACCCCTCCCACTTCATGCACGTTTCTGGTTTTGTTCATTACACGGGATGGTGAAATGGTACTTCAGAAAGGACCATCAACTCCTGGACTTGATTTTTCAACATATTAAAATTCTGTTCTCCATTTGGCACGAGACGTTTTCCCAGTTTAGAAATCTGATGGGAGCACCCGGATCAGAAGATTTTATCTATACTGCCCTTAAGAACATAAGAACACAAGAGAAGCTAATGTTGGATCAGGCCAATGGCCCTTCCAGTCCAACACTCTGTGTCACACAGTGGCCAGAAATACCAGGTGCCACCGGGAGGTCCAGCAGTGGGGCCAGGACACTAGGAGCCCTCCCCCTGTTGCCCCCCCCCCCCCAAGCACCAAGAATACAGGGCATCACTGTCCCAGACATAAGAACATAAGAGACGCCTATGTTGGATCAGGCCAATGGCCCTTCCAGTCCAACACTCTGTGTCACACAGTGGCCAGAAATACCAGGTGCCACCGGGAGGTCCAGCAGTGGGGCCAGGACACTAGGAGCCCTCCCCCTGTTGCCCCCCCCCCCCCAAGCACCAAGAATACAGGGCATCACTGTCCCAGACATAAGAACATAAGAGACGCCTATGTTGGATCAGGCCAATGGCCCTTCCAGTCCAACACTCTGTGTCACACAGTGGCCAGAAATACCAGGTGCCACCGGGAGGTCCAGCAGTGGGGCCAGGACACTAGGAGCCCTCCCCCTGTTGCCCCCCCCCCCCCAAGCACCAAGAATACAGGGCATCACTGTCCCAGACATAAGAACATAAGAGACGCCTATGTTGGATCAGGCCAATGGCCCTTCCAGTCCAACACTCTGTGTCACACAGTGGCCAGAAATACCAGGTGCCACCGGGAGGTCCAGCAGTGGGGCCAGGACACTAGGAGCCCTCCCCCTGTTGCCCCCCCCCCCCCAAGCACCAAGAATACAGGGCATCACTGTCCCAGACATAAGAACATAAGAGACGCCTATGTTGGATCAGGCCAATGGCCCTTCCAGTCCAACACTCTGTGTCACACAGTGGCCAGAAATACCAGGTGCCACCGGGAGGTCCAGCAGTGGGGCCAGGACACTAGGAGCCCTCCCCCTGTTGCCCCCCCCCCCCCAAGCACCAAGAATACTGTGTAACTTTTACTGGTTTTTTTGTATTGCTGCAACTGGTGTTCTATTTATTGTATTTGATATTCGTCTTTTCGGGTTGTGTTTATTTTTCATTCGTTTTGCACTCTTGTTGTTGTTGTATTGTTACTGTTCAATTTAAATGTGCAAACCAATAAAAATGTTGTTTTTTAAAAAAAAAAGAATACAGAGCACAAATTGCCCCAGATGGAGAGTTCCTATCTGTACCTTGTGGCTCATAGCCACTGATGGACCTCTGCTCTGTATGCTTATCCAGTTCCCTCTAATGTTCCTCAGTGAAGACCCCAAAGAGCTTCCGAAACCAGGTTCTGCATCTGCAAGGCAGGTGAGGCTGACAGAGAGCAACGGGCCCCCAGGGTCCCCCCCCCCGAGAGTTCCCGTGGCAGAGTGGGGAATCAAGCCAGGGTCTCCCAGACCCAACGCCTGACACTCTCACCACCACCACCACCACCACCACCACCACCACGCCATGGTAGCCCCAGACAGTCTCCCCACTGGGGAACATAGCCACCTCTGTCCGTAGGCAGAGCCCCAGCCCCATGGCCAGGATTTTATGGCTTGTGGGGCAAACCTTTTTCCTGGTGGGGCTAGAGATGAGGAGCCAGAAGCTACTTACTGTTGACAGCTGCACTGTGTATATAGCAATACTATAGGATACTGTGCCCTTTAAAATGTTTAAAAAATAATCTAAAAACCATCTCCAGAAAGAAATCTTGTGGGGCTGGCCCTTTGAGGAAGGGGGCAGAGCCCCCCATAGCCCCGCTGAATCTGCGGGCTGGGTCTCACCCGGCCCTCCCACCTCAGCCACACGCATGCACACACAAAGACACACGCCCTGGTTGTCCTGGGAGGCATTTCACCAGGGGCCTGGGAGGCTTCTGTCCCATTCCCATCCGTGCCCACCAGTGATCACCTAACCACCATGCATCGTTCACCTAGAAAGAAATCTGGATTTTCTTTCCCCACCCCCTCAGGCACCTGTACGCCCCAATGTGCTGCCTCAAGAGCTCACACGTCTGCGGGACGACCTCGAGCCTGCAGCGTCTGGTGCACAGTCGCATTTCCCGGCTCCGTCCTCGCAAAGCTGCCACGGGACATTGGAAGAGCTGCTGTGGGCCCACCCGACAAGCCTCGGCTCACAGCTGAAGCCGGCACAGGTCACGTCGCATCCATTTCCCCATTAAATCCCCGTGTCCTCCCACTGGCTGGCCTCTCGAGAACCAGCCAGAGCAGAGCAGCAGGGGGCTGCGCAGCCCGCCTCCGCCACCTCTCCTTCCTGGATGCGGCCTCGAGCCCCCTCGGGAAGGCGGCCTGGGAGCCAGGACCGGGGGTGGGGGGTGGGCTGTGATGAGCAGAGAGGAAGGGGGTCTGGGAGCAGAAAGCTTCCCGTGAACAACACGCAACTTCCTGCCTCACCACTGAACCAGACCGTTGTCCTGCCAAGGTCAGCAGGGTCTACTCAGATGGGCAGCGGCTCTCCAGGTTCTCGGGCAGAGTCTTTTTCAGGAGGACCCTCTGAGCCAGAGGCAGAACGCAGATCTCCTGCCCCTGAGCCCCAGCCCACCGGGAGATGGCTCTCACCCCAGGCATTCGCTTAGAGCCAGCGGGACATTTCCACAGCGGACGGATTTCTGCCTGCAGAGAGTGACTTCCTTGCCTCTCCCTCCCCAAACCGCCGCCCAGAATACAGGAGCAGCATTTCAGGGACAATTTGGGATGCCTTGAGGGTGGAGGAGGATAGAAATGTCACGCTCGGTGGAAGTGACCCACTGGATCCAAGCCACAGGACGTAAAGCGAATGCCTCTCCTGAAGACGACGCTTGCCCAGGTGAACATTTGGCATGCTACCAAACACAGCTTCTTTCTCAGGTTTAACGCCGCATATTCCTTCACTTCTGGAGCTCCCACAAGTATCCGGCTTGGCGAGGGATGGAGTCGTGTTAGACAAGCTTTTGCTGTCAGTGAGTTTGTTGTGTCTCAACAACAAGGGGGGGAAAGACCTCTCCCAAAGCGTAAAGGATGGCTTCGAAGCACCCCCCAACCACTTACAGAGTCTGACACTTTCTGCCCAGCTGTGATTGGAAGGGGCTCCTTCCAGATGGCCAAGTTCAGTTTGAGATTTCTACGTGAATCCTGTTTCAGCTCCACATCTCTTGTTCCACTTGTTTTGTCGGAGTTAAGCACCGTGTGTCACTGACTGACCTTGCAGGGCTTTCAAAACAAGCCAAAGGTGTTGACACGCAAGAACAAAGGGGGGGGGAGAAAAACACCACCGCCGCAGCCACCTCCCTGGTCTCTCTGCAGTTTTACTTCCAGCAGGCAATTGACGAAAAGTCCCTTGCCAAGGTTCCTTCCAGACTTGTGGTGGAAATCTTCAAAACGATCATCCTCCTCCTGCTTATGTAAGGAACTTCCTAGCCTGAAGCTTTCTGCTTTTCAAGCTAGCAGAGAGCAAAGCGCTCCCACCAACACCAGTGAGAAGATGGGTGGGACTCACAGAAGGCCAGACAAATTGGAACTTTTCTGCTTCCAAAGGAAACCATAATGGAAACCATCACAAAGAAGTGACTCCTCTTCGGCAGTTCTATTTACAGAGAACGAGTCTTTGCAATAAACCACCACAACCTTGCCCATTTTTCACTAGGGCCATAAACGATGGCCCACACTAGCTGGAGTGGCGTATGTGCAACTGGGAATGTTCCACACCCCCAACAGAACTGCCGCTGAATCATCTCTGTGTCTCCTTGTACCTCTACGGGGGCAAAAACAAAGCACGCATTTCATTGTTGGATCATCAGCTGATTTATTAACTCAACACAGCCTCTGTCAATTCCATCAGTAGGAAACTGGGTCACAGTGACACTTTTTGTGATGGACAAGAACTACTCAACCTTTAAGCAACCAACCATAAAGCTAAACCTTACAAACTAAACTGTCTCGAAAACAGCCACTGACAAACACAGCCCAATTTCCCTCCATTCAAATAAGCCGCAGCCTCACATAGCAGCAAACAATTTGCCTTAGGAAGCCAATTAGGGTCACCTCCATCAGCCGAGAGGGATGCAATCAGAACAAATTGTCTGGTTTTGTAAATGTATCTGAATTGGGGGGGGGGGCGTGCCTCAAGAACACATTATGGGCATTCTGACCAAATCCAATCTGTGGCCAGCGCCAGTGAGTCTCCCTTCTCATTTCCTGGATTCTGGCATTTAAGCTGTCGTTCAGTGGCCACATCAATACTTGTAGTAGAAATGATTTATCAGCACACTTCCAGCAGTCCTGGCCTGGGCTGTTGTAACTTGCACCATAATCCAATATGTGACCAAAAGTGAACTTTCACATCCTTTATCAACACACTGCCCAAAGAATTGCCACTTCCACCCAGGTCATATGATTTTCATCACACTAGAGATGGATCATTCAATCCCCCATGGCAAACCATCGCTAAAGGCTAAGGCCCAAAGAGCACAGGAATATTTACTGGATCGAGTCCTCTTGTGAGAAAAGCAAGGTGAATCAGATGGACGTAACCTGAGTCTGACACGCATTGTTCCCTTTTACAGATACAGCTAACCTGGCCACACGAGTCCCTCTTACAAAGTCAAGGTTGGACTACTGTGAAGTGGCCTTTGTGAGACTGCCCTTGGAGACACTGTTGAAGCCCCCACTCTTTGCAGAGTGCAGTGGCATGCCTGTTAGCAGAGGTTAAGTGCTTCGTGCACGTTATCCCAAGTTTGAGATCCTGACACTAGCTGCCAGCTGAGATCCACATTCAACTCGCAATGCTGGGCTTAACCTTGAGAGCTCTTCGTGACCTCAGACCGTCACACCTGAGGGACCGCCTCCCCACCTGTGAGCACCTGCGGCACTTCCTCCAGTCCTCTCTCAGGTTTGTTTCTGGCTTCACCCATGAGGGCAACGAGGACAGGTCTTGACTCCAGCTGAAGCCGTCTCGGGAGACACACTTCTGCTTCACGGGATGGATCCACCGAAGCCGTGCGGAGGGCACTGACCCTTCTGAAGTTTCAAAAATGGTCTGGAAAGCCTTTGCTTGCTTGCAAGAGATGTGCTGATTTTTAAGAAGTCCTTTTTTAAAAAAGAAAACCTGCTGTGCTATTATATTAGTGAAGTGAGAGAATTTGAATCCTACTCTATAATCCATTTATCCTAACTCTGGTCGATTTTATTCTATATTATATTATTCTAAATTCAAATCTTATTTTTTTATTTTCTTTATCTAGTTTTATTTTTGTATTATAAGCTGGCAAAAGCCATTAAATAAACTATACACATATTAGTGAAGTTGCTGGTTTTTGCGTATGCTGCTTAAAGTCCAATACAGAGACAAGCAAGGAATATATTTTTCAGATAAATCTGACCTTTTAAACCATTATCTTATAGCCACAAGACAGTCCATCATAACTGAAACATTCCTGTTGAGGTCACATTTCTAGAAAGGTCAGAAAACCTTTATTCTGAGAAAGGCCTGCTTGTGATTCAATCACAACCTAGAGCAATAAGGCATGATCCATTACAGAAGCTTGGGAAAGGTGTTCCTCATGACGAAATTTATTTCCTTCCTCCAGATGCTAAAGTTAGTAACGGGCAAACTTTGCTCAGATCTGTTTGGAGCTGGGCTCGTAATTACCAGCATCACTGAAACAGAAGGGATGAAGGGAGGTTACAGTTTACAATCCCAATTAAAAATATATATTAAAAACAAACACTACCACCAATACACGAGTTACAAATGAACCCCACATTTCAAAGTACTGGGCCACTCAAATGTTGGAATGCTCTGTGTGTCACTTATGTACAGATGGAAACCTGGCACACAGCCAGTGTAAGCAAGGCCCGCGAAACTGAGTAACATTGATTGGGTAATGCAATCAGGTGACTTCCTTCTAGGGGTCAAGAAGAAGAAGAAACTCCATTGTTGTGTGACCACTTGTTCTGTGCTGTAAGGATGTAAAGATGTAGGTCTAGGTATCTCTTTTGTTTTGTAGCTTTCCATGTGAACCCTTCCCTTAGAAATAAAGACTTCTTCATAGAAAGAAATGTCTCCTCTCCAGTGAAGCAAAGATCCATTGCAAACTCTATTTAAGTATTTTTGCCTATTTTCCCAACAATAACCAGCACCATGAACTAAATCTGGAAACCAATAGGTAGGCAGTGGAGTGATCGTGCATTGTGCCCAGCCCCCATTAACTAGTGCGCTGCCATGTCTCGCGTCAGCCGACGTTCTCGCTTACAGAGAGCCATAAGTAAATCCTGGCCAGGCATTGCTCTGGATTCTGGTACCCTGAAACTATAATAAAACATGGAGCAGACCTTTGGATCTGAATCCAACATTTGTTCGGAACTCTTTTTGTGTGTAAATAAGTATGGCCTCCCAGTGCATGTATCCTCGGGTATGAAGATATTTGTATTTGCTGTTATGCTAATTTGGTTGTGTTGTGTTTAAGAAAAGGGGATTGTGTAGCTTTTTATTCTAGGATTTTTCCCTGGAACCTCTCTGTATTTTCACAGTTTATGGCATTT